TATCAGCTACAACGCGGCCATCAGTGCCTGTGAGAAGGGCGGGCAATGGCAGCAAGCATTGAAGTTGTTTGATGCGATGCCCAAGGCAAAAGTAGACCCCACGATCGTCACATACAACGCTGCCATCAGTGCTTGCGCGAAGGGCGGGCAATGGCAGCAAGCATTGAAGTTGTTAGAGGCCATGCTCGAGACCGAAGTGGAGCCAGACGACATCAGCTACAACGCGGCCATCAGTGCTTGCGAAAAGGGTTGTTTCTGCAATGCAGCTTTGCAGAGATTTGATACTTGCAAGGCTGTGAAACTTCAAAGATCGACCTCGAAGGCCTCTCAGAGGGAACTGCCCGCTTTGCGTTGTGTCGGCTCTCCTCTGCAGTGGCCACAAAGCTGGAACAGGAGAAGGGGTCAACATATCTCATCGTCACTGGCTATGGAAGACCTTGGGAAGAGTGGAGTGCGGCAGATGTGGGCTAGGTGAGCTTGCACTTGCAAAGTCTTAGGTTTCGAGCAGGGCAGTTGCCTGAAAGCTCAGGTAGAATTCGAGTTGGTTTCGGGAAGGCAGCACAGTGCTGGAGCCAGCTTTAACCGATGTTGTCTTTAGCGTGGTAGCATCCTTTCACCAGCAACGGCCTGCTTTTGAAGTCCTTTGCCATGTCTAATCCACTGTCAAAGTGGGTGACGAAACAGCCATGAGCAATTCACGCAAGCACGGACGACCAGGCAAAATGTGGTCGAAGACCTTGACGTCGATGTTTGAAGCTTTGATCTGGTGACCGCCGATGAGGTATTTCAGGGAAACAAAAGAAAAGGCACTAATTGACCCTGCTTTCTCTACCAACTTCTGATTCTTGTGCAACGCTTTCCCAAAGAGATCCTTTCGGAGTTTCACATTAAACGAGGTCAGTAACCTGTGAAAGCTTGAGAAAGAGATTAGCACTTAATTACGAATGCCCTACCGGAATGCTGGAACCCATCAGATGACCTATCCTACGATTGAAGGCAGTTCATACATGTGTATATAATAATATATATATAATATATACATCATCAATTAGTATGTTTCTTTAATTGTCTACAGTAAACTGGCGGATTCGGATACTTCCCACAAGATCCCACCGAATCTGAACAGACTTCTCCGACCACTGCGAGATCGTTCACCATACACAGCATCCGAAGATCTCACACCCGTCTCAGGACGGGGACCACGCGGGCGCCGGCGCCTTTGGGGAAGTCCGCAGGCCGGCCGGCACCTGGGGACGCTGACGAGCGGTGGGACCGGAAGGACTGACCCAGGCGGGTGCATGTCCTTTTCGGGAAAAGGCCAAAGTGGCCTCCAAGAGACCGGGGGTTTTGGTTTGTTTGTTGCCTCCGACTTTGCCCACATTGACGGTGCTTTGTTTCCGGATCGACAAAATGAAGAGACGGCTTGTTGGCACTCCGAGGAACCTGTCGCTAGGGTTTGTCAAAGTAAACCTGTAGTCAGTCGGTAAACAACAACATCACTATTTTGGAACAAGGCCTGCAACTTAACCATCATCATCCACTGCTGCGGGGAATAGAAGAGATCCCCAACCTATTGCAATGGTTTGGTGGAAGAACAGAAAACTCTTTGGTGAGCTGATGCGAAACAGGCTCCTGCTTGATTTGATGACCAGAAACCAATGGTACCAGGTTGTCGAGCAGCGACAAGAAGTATGCCAAACGGTCACACTATGGCTTCTCCTATCTCCAGTGGTCTTCACGATTCTTGTTCCGTAGTAGGTGCCGGGACAGAGTGTTTATTCTCGGCGGAGTCCTCCCTCAATCGTGATAGCAAGTATACTTCCAGTGCAACCTCAGCCAAAGACCATGGTTTGTCAGCTTCGCCCCACTAGACAACAATTCTGTAAGCCTACAACTGCAAACTGCACAAGCACTGAAGAAACAAGACATGGAACCTGAGAAGTTTCCTGTTTGAAAATGGGTGTGTTTCCAGTTCCAGGAAGGAACAAGTCAGTTCGCTGACACAAACGCTTGTGCGAGAGAATACCCACCCCACAGTTGTCATTCGTGACGCTTGTTGAACAGTCAGGGTAGCCACTCATGTCACACAATAGAGCCTAAAGGAAGGAGCCTCTAGCAGAACAATTCAGATGGTTGCACATTAAGTATTTTGACTGGTAGCACTGGAATCTCTCTTGTCTTGAGGTGTTTAGTGGCCTGTGTCAGGTCAGATCAGAGCATCCGATTAATTTTGGCCAGCTTCCCTTGTCCACTTTGACCGAAGACCAAATATAGTTCTGTCGGTGCAATCCAGCAAGTCGAAATTACACTATTGTGTCTCTTGCGTTGTCCGTTGCCTCAGCTTGGTGTGCTCAATAGCCACATGACGCAGGGAAGGAAATTTGGATTCAATGGCACCTTAGCTGGTCTTTGTTCAGAGCCTTAAGAGACGTCCATCCTCAGAGTGAATGAAGAATTGCAAGCAAAAGCACCTTCAAAAAAGCCGCTGACACTCCAAACAAAAGAACACATGCCGTATGCTGGCGTGCCTATTGACTTGTGTTCGCATTTTTCTCACAGAGACATGCCCAACCAGACACGTGCAAGAGTTGGAAACAAACTTCTCCTTGCCAGCTTTACATCCCGCGAAGAATCAATGCAACCAGCGCAGAAAGGGATTCACCTTCTTGCAGACCAACACGAACCATGAAACTCACTGTTTTCAAAATTCCATCTTCCAGGGGTCACTGTGAGTTCAAAGGACCATTCCAAAACAAAAGGACCGACACCAACCCACCATGCTGCCTCACCTGGAAAACGCCTTGCTGTCTCACCTGTCTCATCCACTGTTGGCGCCATGCTCAGCGGTCCAACGTCCGCCCTCAGAGCCCCCAGCTGCCTTCAACGGCCCGGCCGCGCCGCGACCCGGCGCCGCGACGGGGCGCCCCGCAGCGCGTGGTGCGGATCGCGCGTGGTGCAGACTGCGCTGGTGGCGTCACTCGGTGACTGGGCCCCTTGAGGTGTCTGACAGTTTAAGTGTTGTTAGCTGTTCTTCATTTTTCGTGCCCCAATGTGTTTGATCCTTGCCACAAGTATCAGATCTCAGCCGTCTTTGTTTATCTTCTTAAAGTCTTAAGCACTCATTTGTTCTGAATTCTGCCTGTTTCTTTCAAAGCTGAGTAAATCCCAGCAGACCTGGCCGTTGCCCCGGCCGTTGCGTGTCTTTTCGAGGCCAACGTGCCGTTTCGAGATCCCGGACACGGAGATGTCGAAGGGCTCCCGACTTCGAACGGTTCTGCGACCATCTGCTGGGCACATGGAGAGGTTGGTCCTCCCCGTGGTTGTCTCCCGATTCGCTGGCAAAGGGGTCTGGTCATGGGTGTCTTGGAGCAAAAGGGGGGCTCTGGTCGGGGACGTTAAAAGAGTGTCGGAAAAAGGGTTGTGGGTGTGAAGGTGTCTGTGATGTTTTTGGTCTTTTTCGAATGAATGGTTGTTGAAAGAATTTTGGGCAGAGGATGGCAGTGGCAATTAGGTAATCATGGAAGAGAGAAGAATTAAGGAAGTTAGTTTTTGTGGCTATCGGGCACAGCTGTCTTTTTGGTTTTTTTGGTATTGCTACTATTGCTGCTGGTTCTTTTCTTGGGATGATTTTAGGTCATCGAGCATGACCCCAGTTGAGTTTTTTGAGCACCATACGAGGCTTGTTGATTGGACTGAAATTGGTCCGTAACGAATGATAAACCGTTGGATTCGGAAGGATGAGAAGGAAGTTGAGACATCAGCTTTGACTGTGGAAGTGGCAAAGTGGCAATTTTCTCAGTTCTTGAGGATCACACCATGGCTGATAAGTGGGTTTTTATTTGGCCGCCAGCGTCTGGCCCTCGACCACAAGGTAAGGAACCCCCCAGCCGCCCCCTGTTTGAACTCCTTTTTTCACGGACCACGGTGGTGGGCCGTTTTCTTCCCGTTGCACTCAACGATCAAGTCGAGGTCCTTCCGTTGCCCTTGGACCCGGGACGACACGAAGGTCACTCCCATCGCGCGGAACTGCGCGGCCTGCGCCGGGGTGGTCCAGGGCTGTCGCGATCGCGACCGGCACTTGGACCGCGACGGGCGCGGCTTCGTCTTCTTCGACTGCGGTTCCTGGACGCTGGAGGAGCCAACAGAGGTGGTCACCGCGCTGCAGAGGCGAAGCCAACGACAGGCGGGGTGGATGGACCGGGTGGGAGAGAAGTGCTTCGCCTGTGAGAAGGAGGGTTGGATGGTGAGCTGGTGAGCTGGCTGGATTGGGAGTTGTTGATCGACAGCTACTCTGAGAGGTTTCTGTGGTTTCTCGCGATGAACATAGATTTCAAGGTAGGAAAGGCACAGAAGACATGTCCAAAACGCCCACCGAGCCGTCTACGAACGTTCACCGTTCACCGGTTTCGCCTCAGGTGCTGTCCTGCCGCTTCACCTCCAGCGGTGAGGTGTCGGAGCTCCAGTGGACGCTCCAAGAGCAGCTCGACGAGTTCCGCCGCGGCGCGCCGCTCGACGAGATGGCGCCAGAGCCGCCAGCAGAAGTGCTGCAGGGAACCTTGATGGCGTTTTCGGACGCAGGGCGACGCAGGGCGACGCAGGGCGACGCAGGGCGACGCAGGGCGACGCAGGGACTGGGTAGACTTTTGGTGACACTGCTGGTGGTCTAAACTCTCTTCACAAGGGTTGTTGTCTCGTGAAAAGCTCTAGTTGGTGAAGACCAGGCCTGTGACACTGACTCAAACCGAACCTCCAGCGAAGAAAGGGATTTGTTGGGCACCCAAAAGCCAAGTACAGTCCCGTTTGTGCCCCAAAACATGGCTCAATATACCTTGTTTTTTCGGTACTTGAGAGTCCATCCCACCATCTCCCACCTCCATCCCACCCGTGTTGAAACGAAAGAATCCCAGCCTGAGGAACACGGCGATGGCTCCAGGAGATCTCCTCCTGGAAGGGCTCAGCGCTTCAGTCCACCGCCAGCGGCCGCTCCGCCGTCTTCGTCTCCACGCGCCTGGCCTGGCGATCGACGGCCTCGGAGGAGGGAGGGGCCTTGGGGCCGTCGCTGGGGGGCAGGGCATTGCCGCCCGGCGTGGGCTTCTTGAGCTTCCATGGTTTCCATAGGAATGGTGGTTTCAGCAGGGTTTTGTATGGTCTTTGGCCCAAAGAGGGTAAGTGCTTAGTGCTTTGGTGAATTCTTCTTCATCCTAACTTATCCAACATGTTCGGTTCGTTCGGGCCAGGAGTTAATGAAGCTCTGGCGAGGCGCTTTGGAGTTCGACTTCCCAACGGCTTTCCTGGCCGTGAAGCACTTTGCAGATCCCAGCGCTGAGCCTCGGAATGGGTTGGATATGTCCTTTTTGGGGCTTCAAATTCCGAATCCCCTTCTAGAGATTCAAGGCTCAATCTTGTGGGAAGAATATATTGCTTCCTTTGTACCAGTTGGATCATGTTAGATCTTGATGTGGAAATCCTTAAATGTATGTATCCGGTGTCCAGAGTGAAGATATTTGTACTTTTCATGTGCCTAAAACTTTGGAGCTCAACTGAGGGCTTTTGGCTCTTGGCCGGTGATGTTCAAAGCTCTACGGCCAAGATCATTGGGCGCAAGTATCTCCTCCCAGACGCCACACGTCCAGATGGACCGACTTTGGTCTCAGTGGCCTTGCTTGACTTGAGCCCAGAGGAGCAAGAGAGCAAAAGCGCGGAGGGCCAGCGGATGATGGACAGAGGATAGGTGTCTTTCGTGTTTGCCCAAGTTTGGGGGTGACGTGGCCCTCGCAGTGAAAGAGCCACGGATTGGCAAGATCCCTCACAAGCCAGTGGTGAAAGGAGCAAAGATTGGTGAAAAGCCCGTGTTGTTGAAAAAAAAGCCCTTATTCTATGGCATGGTTCAGTTTGGGAGTCTTCAAAGGGATTTGCAGGCTCAGAATAGGCAGCCAGCTCATTGTGCTAGGGGGTTGGGAGACACATACCGACAGAGAAACTGTGAGAGTGTCCTTGCTAAAGGGACATCATTGACACGGGAACCGTGTGAGGGGGATCCTCCTGAAACAAGCGTAGACTGGTGGGAATCACTGGAAACGGTTTCCATACACAACCACGTTGTTCTCCCACTGTCAGTCGACGGAAAAAAGGAGCGGCTTTCCAGGTCCCCCCTGGTGTGCAGCGAAACCTTTCATTGCTCTTTCTTAATCGTAGTAAGATTAGTTCAGAATAAGGTTCAAAGAACAAGAACCAGGACTGCCATATGGTTGAAATCCTTATCAGACTGATAGCAGATCTGCAGATCGACTTCGACGTCATCAGGGTTCTGAAACGCCCGTTAAGCCCCTTTGCTTTCGACCGTGCCTTCCGGGTCCTTGGCAGGTGCACCCACCGCGCAAGCCATGCGAGCCGATGCGTGGGAAAGACCCGGTTCAGATGGCTGGGCGGTAGTTCATGGTTCAGAAGTCCTGATGACTTGGGTGGATGTACCAACATCGTATTGACATGTTGACCTGGTAGTTTGTTGGCCAGTTTGTCCCATTCCAGTATTCGTCGTGGGTCAGCGTCAAATTGTGTCACTTTTGTTAGTACAAAAAAGTGGGATTGTTCATGTGCAGTTGGCGTGGTTGCAGGCCCTCGCGGTCATTCCATAGGGTGGTCACAGTACATTTGGAGAGATTTGATTGGATGCGAGGGTGCTGTCAAATCCCACAGAACTTGCATGCTCATGCTCATCAAGTTGCTGCACCACCAGACTGGGGTGAAGGCCCATGTTTCAGGTCGTCGTTTGCTTCGAAGCCCTTTTCCAGACTTCGCCCTGAGGTGAAGACCATTCCCAAGAAGGATTGTTGGACCCGGGGCTATGTCCGGATGCCAAGAAGGATGGCGGAGCTGCGAAGAGGATGATAGATGTGGATAGGGGAATTCACAGCCACGTACGCCTGGTGAGCAACCCAACAAGCAGCTGAATAGTTTGACCCTGTGCCCTCACTGAATTTCAGTTGGTTTTGCTTCATAGGGTCCATTCCGTCAGAACATATCAGAACCATGAAACCGATGAGCGTGGCGACTCGTTTTATCGTGGTACACCCATGTGAGAAAGAAAGGTCGAAAAAGTTTCAAGGTGTCGATGCCAATCACAGTCATCCTTTCTTACAAAGATCCATCCCAGTCTCAAGCAAGACCTAACATAGATCAGTCGCCAGTCATAGATGCGTAACTACGTCACAAGTCATAGATTCCGCCATATATGTCGGGATCTACATAGAGGATATCCCACGACATAGATACCGCTCATATTCCCTCAAAGATCAGTCGCAAGTCATCCGCCCGCTTGTTCCTCAGGTCTTGGAGGAGATCGAGCTCTTGGAGGCGCTCGCAGTCAGCGGGTCCGGTGGACGGTATGTGCCGTGGATGAAGCAGACGGGCCCGGCGCTTTCAGCACGGGTGTTTGGGAGTTTATGGGCAGCTTGTGGTTCTTTTGTTCCATCCAACAGTCACATGGTTTGGGTGGAAAGCACATAACGATGTCTCTTGATAGGCTTGTAAGGAGCAGTGCTATAAGTTTCCGTGGTTACAAAACTGAGGATGCTCCAAGCTGTTGGAGGAAGAAATCCACCCCGACCACATACAGGATAGCCACTATCTACGGGGACTACGGGGTGTTATGTTGGTGGTGTGCAGGAGACTTTTCTTCAACAGCTGTTTCAAGTGGAGGAAATACCAATCCCCTAAGCATGAACAACCAGTAGGGACGTTCGGATCCATTGGGAATGATGGATGCAGTGAAGATGCTGAGTCTTTTGTCATACGTTGGATTGTGCGATAACATTTTAGATAGGGCATGCTTCTGTTTTTGGCAACTTTCGGACAATCATGCTGAAGAACATATCGCACTCAATGCAGATCTCAGTTGGGTTGACCTTTGCTTCAAAGTTCTATGCACCGTTCAGGAGCGGATGAGCAGCAAATTTGAGGTCCATAAACCACAAAACACTACAACGGTAGTGGCATGAACCCTTGGACCTGGATCCGTGCATGTTTGAGGCGCAAAGACAAATGGGTTTGTATTCATTGGCCTTTGGCTTCAAGCAGAGTTTGTTTCCAAGAGCACTTCGGCCATTACTTGGCAGTAAAGAGTTCATGGTTGCTGTGTCAATCTTGATTTGGCGTCGGTGTTTGGGCCTGAGAACTTCTGGAGTGCGGCTGTTGGCCACAGAAGCTCTCACAGGTTTGCGGCTGTTGGCCAGCCAATCCCTTCCAGGTCTTCACAAACAATGGCAGGTGAGCTCTCATGGCCGCGTTTGCAACACCAGAGGAGTAGTCTCACGCGGATCCTTGAAAGCTTGTGGCTACTACAAGGTGGAAATATGTGGGAACAGTTTTTTTGTGCATCGCGTGGTGGCCTTTGCTTTTTTGGGACCTCCGCCAACCAATGATGTGTGGCAGGTGCACCACCAAGATGGTGACGGTTCCAATAACCGACTTGAGAATCTGAGATACGTGACGCCACGCCAGAACATGTTGGAATTTTTTGCAGGTGCTTCAACGTGCAGTAGTGGTCTTGGCAAATCAGTGCCTGTGATGTGGAGAGCAGTGGGGTCCCAAATTTGGACGACCTCACCCTCAATCACAGATGCAGCAAAGCAGCTTGGCATGGACCGCGGCACAGTTTCCAAGGCCTGTAGACATGGAAAGCCAGCGAAGGGGTGCGATTTTCAGTTTTCTGAGCGTTGTGAGATTGCAACACTGGACGGAGAGGAATGGCGACAGATGCTCGACCCAATGTCCGGTAGCGAAGTGCCGGGAAGGATGGTGAGCTCACTGGGAAGGATACGGTCACAAACAGGCATCATTTCAAGGGGGTGCCGTACCCGGCAAGGCTACTACGTGACCACCCTCACATTAGGCTGTGAACGGCGTACTGAATATGTTCATCGTCTAGTCCTGTTGTCTTTTTGGGGACCACCTGCGAGCCAGCAGCGGCGATATGTTAACCACAAGGACCTTGACAAAGGAAACAATGCAGTTGAGAACTTGGAGTATGTCACAAACGCCGAAAATGTGATACACTGCCTGGCTACCAGGGAGAGGCGCCACAGGCCACATGGGAAACCAACTGAAAGCAGACTTGTGGGCAGCATGGATGAATGGAGAATGCATTTGTCTATCAAGGGTGCTTCAGATGCTCTTGAGGTGAATCGCCACAGTGTCTCCCGTTGTTTGACAGGTCGCCTCAAACAGACTGGTGGATTTGAGTTCCGACGAGGCAGCACGGCTGAAAGCCAGCTTCAGGCTGGCGAAGAGTGGCGCCCGGTTGATTGTAAAGTCATCGGCGCTCTTCTGCGGGAACGAGCCTCCAGACAAAAAGGTGCTAAGGAGTCGGTCTGTGAAGGTGGAACGCCCCAGTCAAGCACTTGGTGCGAAACATGGAGCAGTGGGACAGTGCGGTACCCTTCTCAATTGTAAATCATATAGGCTTTTGTTTCTTTTGATTTGATGTTTGACTGCAACGGGACACTGTCAGCAAGTGACTTTTTCTGATAGGGAGATCTTGAAAAGAGGAAGGACAGGAACCAGTGCATGGGCAACAACTCAAGATTTTTGTTGTTCTAGGTCTGATAAAGGCCAACTAATTATGTACAAGATGAGTTAAGGTGCTTGCAGCAACATTTAGGCATGATATAAAGGACTCTTTTCTGGGGTGGGGTCCTGGATGGTTTTGGTGGGATATAATCAGAACTCAAGCACTGGGACTTGCATGTGTCAACCTTAACAGTTTCATGCATATGTTGCTGGCAGTGAGGAGTTGGATTGTTAAATAAGGCGCATCAAGGTCGCAACAGATGGTTCCTGTTAGCGAGAGTCAGTCAATTCAGTCCTCCTCCTCTTTCCGAAGCATCTGACTGAGCATCCAAAGGGCCCACAGCGGGTTCTTGGGGAATATTCCCATGTTAGACCTGCATCGTTTTGACAAGCGCCGTATATGGGGCCAAGCCTTTCGGCAGCGTTCTCTAAAGTCATGCCAGTGATGAAATATCCTCAGCAAGAAATGCTTTGTTCTGAATTCCTTGCAGAACCATAGTGTGGGTGCCATGGCCAGTGCTTCAAAAGCGCTATGGCGCAGGTGCACCTGCACCAGACTTGTTGGAGCCTTCGCTGGCCTGAGGTTGTTGGCCACTAAGGCACTCCAAGGTCCAGAGGTTGAAAAGAGGAAGCAATGGCAAGTCAGCTCCCACAGGCGAGTGTGCAACACAAAGGGACGGGTCTCAAACGGACATCTACAGGGATCAGGCTACTACAGAGTCGACGTGCTGGGCAATGACTTTTATGTCCATCGCTTGGTGGCTTTCGCTTTCCTGGGGCCTCCACCAGCAGACGACACGTGGCAAGTTCACCACCGGGATGGTACTCCATCCAACAATCGGGTCGAGAACTTGGAATACGTGACGCAAAGCCAGAACATGAAGGAATCCTTTGCAAAACCGAGAGGCAATGGAGGACCTTGTTGTTCACTGCCTGTGATGTGGAGAGCTGTGGGGTCCCAGATTTGGACGACCTCTCCCTCAATCACAGATGCGGCAAAGCAGCTTGGCATGGACCGCAGCACAGTTTCCAAGGCCAGTAGCCAAGGAAAGCCAGCGAAGGGGTACGATTTTCAGTTTTCTGAGCGTTGTGAGATTGCAACACTGGACGGAGAGGAATGGCGACAGATGCTCGACCCGAAGTCCGGCAGTGAGGTGCCTGGAAGGATGGTGAGCTCACTGGGAAGGATACGGTCACAAACAGGCATCATTTCAAGGGGGTACCTGAGGAAACAGGGATACTACCAGACGATGCTCTCATTGGGTTTTTTCAAGCGCAGTGAATTGGTCCATCGATTGGTGGCATTCGCCTTTTTGGGGCAGCCTGTGGACCACCGCAGGCACCACGTAAACCATAAAGATTTGGACAAAGGAAACAATGCAGTTGAGAACCTCGAGTATGTCACGCCTTCTGAAAACATGGTTCACCACTACGCGTGCAGAGATGCACACCCCAGGTCATATGGAAAAGCGGTTGAGAGCAGATGCTATGGTAGCAGTGATGAATGGAGATGTCATATGTGTATCAAAAGTGCTGCAGATACCCTTGGACTATTTCGTAGCAATATCTACCATTGCTTGGCTGATCGCTACAGGCACACTGGCGGGTTTGAGTTCAGACTGGCAAACTCATCTGAAAACAAACAACTGGCTGGGGAAGAGTGGCGAAATGTCAATGCTGAATTGATTGAAACCCTTCTCCAAGAGCAAGCACGGAGACAAATATGGTGTGACAGAGTCAGCGTGGCAGTGCCTTCTGGGAAAGGAGGATCTTGGTCTTGGCAAGCCTTGTTTCAGGTTTCGGTGAACCCTTGAAGGTTGAAACGGCTGTTTGATCTCAAGAAATCGTAAATGACGTGGACATTATGAAGGGTTTTGCCTCCACATGACTGACAGCCTCCTATGGAAAATGATTCCGGTTTCACAAATGGACTTCGGGGTGCAGGATGCTAGGTTCCGAAAGCGGAGAACATACACCAGCGTCACAGTGCTTCGTAGACTGTTCTGTTGGTGCTTGGCATGGACATGGGGCAACGCATCCGGATAGGAACACTGAATAATTCTTCTCAAAGACCACAAACCATAGACGAGACAAGAGTCAACAAGCCGGAGTTGTGTCATGGTTGTAGTATCTTTCTAGAGACCATTCAACAACGCTGTTACGTGAATTCATTGATATGCCCCAATTCATGGTGTTGTGTCCACAGAACGCGGCACCCTTGACTTGGCCAGATGGTCTCGGGGAAGCACCCGAACATCGTTCGCTTCTTCGAGTTCTTCGAGGCCGAACGGGTGGTGCGAACCACACGAACGGACGTGGCCAAGGGGTGGAGGTGTGACGGTGTATCCACCAATCAATCGAAGGATTTGAAGCATGGGCTGATTCATGTACGGTCCATGGGATCCCCTACAAATAAATACACCATCTAAACAGTGGTTTTTGAGGTGCAAGCATCCATTCTCGAAAGAGCAGGGGCCGATTCTCCCCGTCAGGAGTGGGACTGCTTACATCTCATCTTCGAGCCCGGAAGCTCAGAGAAAGCTTTTGGCGCCACCACTGCTGGTAACGCTCGGGCTAGTGGCGGACCAGGACCTCTGGGGTTCTTTGGTTGGGGGGTTCATGCAAAAAGGTAAGCAGAGATAAAGAAAAACCATGAGATGCAGGGTGCCGAAGAGATGACCGTGGCTGGTGATGGCGAGGACCCGGCGTTGGGAGCTTGTTGCTGAAAGGCAAATCTTCAGCAGGTCTACTTTGGAGTTCCGTCACACCCAGCTCGTCGTTGAGGCCCTGACGTTCAGGCCTTGACCCGCCGGAGCAGATCCAGTGCATTGAGGCCCTTCAGCACTGAGGAAGCATCGACGCATGCCAACTAGAAGCCCAGGTTCTCTTGTTGAAACCAGCTGGCTCTTTGCAACGCTTCGTCCTGCTGGATCACCACCCGGACCTGCTTAATTTCATCCTTTGCCCGCCAAGGCTCCTGGCCGCTTCGTCGTTGGTGTCCAATTCGCTCGGTCTCTCGGCGTGGCAAGAAACCCGCAGGAGGCTACGCCAGCCATCGCAGAGTGGCCCCGAAGGTCGCCTGGTCACCTCTTCGATCCCTCGGCCTGCGCAGTTCATCGACGCACACCAGGGCGTCGTGGCATCGAAGTTGCAGGCCTCCAGGCAAGACCTATAGTGTTTCCGCTCTCGCGTGCACCGAAAGCCCTGCAGGTTTCGGATTAGCTGGTTCACTCCTTGTGCCAAGACGTCAGCCAACTTACAGACGACGAGATTGGTGCAATCGTGGCCACACTGGTCTCCTTCTCAGCTTCAGGGTCTTCGTGATGTCTCCCTCCGATTTGCTCAAAACGCATGAGGCCGTCCACGTATCACGTCTAATTACTGGCCTTTGCCTTGTTCCGTCCATCTTCTATCCTGGACTCGCCCCTTGAGCAACGCCGTGAGCAACGGACTCGACCAATCCATCCAATGGGGCCAGACGCGAAGCACCGGCCACCAGGCATCGGTGGGCCCCTTCACCTGGAGTTCGTGGGGTCACCGCTGCCACCGTGTTACCGCGAGCGTGCAGCCAGTGAAAATCCGTTCTCTCGTTGAAACGTTTGCACCTTTGGCAGAGAAGCTTTCTGAAAACCTTTCACCTGCAAGTTGGAACAACGGAAGGCCCAGAACCGTGCAACTGATCCTTCCAAAATAGTCTTCAGAGGTCAAGAACCACCGAACACCATTGGAACATTGGACCACCAATCCATGAGGAGCTGTGAAAGTGTGTTTTTCGGAGCTGGCTGAGGTTTTGCCCTCGTGGCAGTTTGGATCAAGTGATCCACTCCAGCAGCTTTCAAGCAGGTGGGGAATGACGCAGAGTCGGCCTTCTCCGAGTTCCAAAAAATCCGGTTTCATCCGTCCTTTGGGGGCTCGCCAACCAGCAGAGGAAGAGCTTCCTTCATTTGGGAAACCTCTCTTTCAGGCATCATCAATCAAGGCCTGTTGATCAGTTGAACCAGTGCTGTAAGTAGAGCTGGACCGTGGCGTCAGGTGCGAGTGAGGCTGGGCACGCAAGTTGGATGGTCAGATGAACCTAGCTCTTGTGCGCCATGTGGTTTTGCCCAGCATGAACCTAGCTCCTAAGGCAATTTTGGCACCTACGCCTTGTGACGTTTCGCCCCGAAGATCCGCCTAGGTCAGTCACCAACATGCTGTTTCCACGGTTTTTGCGATTCTTTGGCCGTCAAACAACATCAAACTGATACAGGTACCTTTGGTTAAAGAACTCGCTAGGAAAATGCGCCAGATCATAAAGCTGCCATGCAACAAATCAAATGATTGCACGAGATTGCACGTTTTGCGTCAAACTTGTGTCAATCCCCAGGTTTGGGGTGCCTTAATGCCTCAACACTGCTCGACTTTTTGCAGATCCACCACCCCACTGGTAGAGCACCCGAGCCCCAACCTTTCCGTCCAGGTGGTGATGAGCTGGTGGCAAAGCTGGTTTGCCAGGTCGCAAGCGTCCGGAGCTGAGGCTTGCGCTGGCTCCCACCATAACTTGGTTGGAGACCAAAGTCCTGAAGGAGCTGAGAAACAAAGCTGGCCTGGCCTCCTCTGCCTCCTGCCTGGAATTCCCCATGTGTTTTTCTGTGAAAAAAGTTACGGAAGAAAGACATCATCCATCATCATCCCAGAGTGACCCCTAGTGGCGGCCCGAGGCCTTGGACTTCCTGAAAGAGTTGGCCATTGTCCACCGCGACGTGAAGCTGGGAGCCTCAGTGGGGCCTACGTAGAAGCCGTTCGTTTGGACGGAGTGGGGCCCGTGCCGGATGCAGGATGGGTGGGTCCCATTTCTAGGAGCCGGAATAGTGAAGCTTCCTTTAGCTCAGGGTTTCGATCAGTGGCGTACATAGATTGAGAGTGGCTCCTTCCTTCTCCCTTCTGCACCGTTCTTTGGGGGTGTGATTTTGGATGGGTCTGTAGGCTGTGGTTTCGCCCAAGAAAACTCGAGCCGAAGGGTGGTCCTCGGGGTAGTAGGCCGACACACTCCGTTTCCTCTTACCGAATGAGCAGCTTCAATCAACAAGATGTCATGGATGCAGAGGCCAACGATTTCCTTTCGGTGAGCGTTCCTCCAAGAAGGTCGAACAAAGAGATGGCACACCATTGGGTCTCTTCACTTCCGAAGTCAACAGCTTCTCAAACATTCCCACTACAATTTCCTTAGACTGGTGGAGATGCACTAATCGTTGAGGTTAAAGATGGGGATGATGTTTTTCTGTTTCCTAGACCACTTTGGCAAGACCGGCAGACATCAAAGACTTGCCCACGACTTTACCTTCATAGGAAGGGAACCTTCCAGCAAAAATGTAGCCTGCCGCGAAACGCACGGAATGTTGACCCCAAAAACTGCCCATGAGACTGCGAATAGTGTGTTAGCGTGTGGGTGTTGGAAGTGTCTTCCGTGCTGAAAACGTTCGCATAGTCAAAAATATTTGACAGAGTCGTTTTCTGTGGACGCGTGGCAGGGCACAATCGGCCGCACCTGCGCCTGAGGCCTGGGAACTTGCTCTTCGAAGAGGACCAGGCTGGCGGTCATCCGTCAAGGATCCCACCGGATGGATCAAAACCGCACACCCATGGAGTCAATGCAGGGTTCCACCTGGATTTGATAGTGAGGAGATTGCGTCTTTGAGAGAATGCCCTCATGCCTACTCTTTAGCATTGGGATATGTTTGTGGTACTTTGTTTTTCGTTTTGTTTGGCCTTTAGTCGACTTGGAATTGGGTTGCTAATCACCGCTGTGTCTCCGAAAAGGCTGCGAAGTAAACCATTGTTGGAGGGAAGTAAGTAGGGAGGCGAGCATTCAAAGTTTTTACCTGGCCATGCCCAGGGTTCTTTCGCCGAAGCGGAAAAGTTCGGGACCAATCTCCACTGTCTTGGTGTGGGTTTGGCCTGAGACCTCCACTGTCGAATGTGCTGTTGAGTTGCGGCATTCAAGTCAAATTAGGCCTTACAGTTTTGTTGATTTCCATGGAGGGTGAGAGAAAAACACTTGTGACACCTCCCCCACCCCTCTTTCTTTGTGCATCCGTTCGACTCAACTCCAATGACTTCACCCTTTCAGGTGAAGTTGGCAGACTTCGGTTGCGCCTGTCTCGCGCCCGAGCCCTTGGAGGTGCGGTGCGCGGGACGTCACACGTCGCGCGAGAGAGACTTCGCACGGGTCGCGCGCGCGCGCGCCCTCCGAAAGCCTTCGTTGGAAGGAGCCGATGGGGACGCCGATCTTCTGGGCGCCGGAAGTACATCAACTCCCTCGAGGCGTGAAGAAGCGAGGGTCGAAGAGGATGGACACCTCCTGGACGCTGTGGTCAGAGACATCTGGAAAGAACCGAGGAGGACATTTGGGGAAGAAAATGTACTGTGCTCAGCCCAAATGTCGACTTCAACTTTGGTGCTTGCTCCAGCTAGACTGGACCCCGAAATGTCGTATAGGGAGAGTCTCGTTCTCCGGTTGTCATGATTGTCTACCGGAAGTCGGGCGCCCATGAAGCTGTTTGTGATAGCCATAGCTCACCAGACACAACCGGATCAACGGTTACAGTAAGAGCTTTGCTCGCCAATTCTTGGGGCATTTGGGCAATCACTTTCACGCGTTGCGCGCCCGGTTGTATCACTCAGGGAAGGGCTATCACTTTCCTGTGGACATGTGGGCCTTGGGCATTTGCTTCTACATGATGCTCTACCAAGGCAGGACCGCTTTGGACCGTGGATCGGAGAGTCGGCCACTACTTCGTGGATCGGAGTGTCTGCTGGCCTACCTGGCCTAGCTGTCTCTTGTTTGGGGAACCCGGAGTGGGGCTGCCCCACAGTGTGACCGGACTATATGAGGCCAAGGGGTGGCATTTGCATCCCAAACGGTTGGGATCAGGCAGGTGTCATGGTTTTTTGAAGTTGACCACGCGAAAAGGATCGAACACCAGAACCAGGCACGAAACATGGTCAAGCACGGATTTCGTCTGCTCATGTGCTTTGATGGGACAGGTGTTTAAAAGATGTTTGGATCATTTCTGTGATACTCTTCTGTTTAACCTTTTCAAGTCAAGCGAGTCGGTTGATCGGTCCAGATGATGCTTCTCCACCTCACCTCCCAAAGCGGTTGCCCTCGGAGGTGTCCATCCCTTCCTGCAGAAGGGCTTCCTCAGCGGGGAGATCTCAGACGTCTGGGCTTGCTCGGTTCAGATCTTTGTCCTTGCTTGGCAGTGCAGACAATTCATAGGTGTGTTTTTCTGTTGCAAGCGCAGAAGGATCGTACTTTCAGGTTCCACATGGATTCACCATGGGTTCACCCCCTACTGCGAACGGACTCGGCACCGTCAGTTCTTCGACTTGCACACCGGTCGCGGCCTGCAGCCCTAGGGCGGAAGGACGTGCAGAGCGGGACCTTCGACGTGGGGAGCCCTGTCCGACATGGCACTGGAGCGGTGTGCCACGGTGTCCGACGTGCCTTTGAGCAGAGGGGAATGGGGAGGGGCCGGGAGGAGTGGAGGAGAATGGGAGGAATAGTTTTGAATCGTTGAACATAGAAGTGGAATGATGTGGGTCGGCACAGGCAAGTGAGCACTGTCTTTGATGTGTCACTCACACCGCACCCCGCTGCGTACATTTGCTTTGTGCAGCCAGGTTTCTTTTCTTCAGGAATGCATGCTTGCAGATCGTTGTTGACAAATACTCACTAGAGTCACTAGACCCTTCAAAAAGATTGTATTTTGGGTAGTGCAGCTTGGTTAAACTCTATAAGAGAAGTCAACAACTGACTTTGAGTTTGGGCAAACAACAGCAAATAGGCGGTATTCTTGCGTTTTGTTTGATCAAGATTGCAGCCCCACTCAGTTCCACATGTAGTGACTAGGTAGTGCATCTTGCTTCAGGCCAGCTGGTTCACAAGCTGGTATGCAAAGGCTCGACTGGGATTTGCGGTCGGAGAAGTCAAAGAAGCCACCCTGCCTGCGAGGCAAAGGATATGCACCGCACCAAATGCACAGGTACAGTAACCAACCGTGGTCAGGGTTGTAGGGGCCTGTCCTTGATCTCCATGAACCAGCAAATCGATGATGTCGTTCTACGGAAAAGTTCACCATTTCAGTTCGATGTGAATTTCAATCGCCGATATCCAAAAGGTATCACAAAAGGTAAATATAGGCAAATTATGTACAGGACTACTTCGGGAAGTAAGAACACTTATGAGAGAATGGTAAAGCCACAGGCCTCATCAAAGACGTGCGTTTGTGTGCGAAGTCCTGCTGTGCAATTCTGAGAGATCCCCGGAGGCACCGGAAATCATTCATTCCCTCACGCGACAAAGGGATGGACGAATGGGTTGGACAAAACGGTGATGATATTGCCACGATGTTTGGCTTTGCAGTTGACAAGCTTATGTTTGAAGCATCCTTCATGAAGACCTTCTTTAAAACACTGACCTTGCACTGCGCATGTTTTCGTTGGGCTGCATGGTTCCAATTATGTAGGTTTAAGAATGATATCAAAGGATGTATGTTTCGTTCTTCGGGCAATATGAAATCTCTCATGTTGTGTCCTACCCTGAGACCTTGTTGATCGCTTCATGTGTGAAAGCTGTGTGACCATCGAAAAGCCGGCAACTTCGAGCACGCTAGGATTTACTGGAGTGGATGCTGATGCCACACCCCGCAGCACGCTCAGCACGCGTCAGAAGGAAGGTGGTTGAGACCATTGGTTGAGACTGGAAGTCTGCTTCGATTCCTTGTACATCCACCTTTATGGTGATGTGACCCACCATGTTCGCCCGACCAGTCCAGCATGGTGACTCACTTGCCAGGCACAGCGCCTCTGCCCCAACGAGGTGCCGGAACATCCTTGGTGCCTTGGAAGATCTTGGGACGGTCTTTTGTGTCAGCATGTTCTCTTTATCAGTTTGCTCAATTGGACGAACAGAAAAAAAAGATAGCTATCAAGCAAGCAACCGCCCCATTTTATCCTTCAGGCAGCTAATCGACAGCAGGACGCAAACACCTCAGGCAGGTTGCGCGCCACCATGTTCAGCAGCGGCAAGGGAGAGTTTTTTCTACACGGAAGGCGACGCCTTGCCAATGCGCAGGCTATTCGTGTTCACGGCCAACAGCACTAGGTCTTGCCGAGCAATCAACCGGGCGTGACCGGCGTTCAAGGAGGCCGTGCAGCCTCGCACACCCCGCAGGCGTCCGTTCCCCCACCACGGGTCGGTAGAGCCGTCGTGGGCGGAACCGGAGATGACGCACCGGCCGTTCACATGAACCGGCTCTCGCCTTTTTGGCGCTGCTTCTTTGGATCGACCAGGTGCTTTTGATTCGAAGAGTTGGACTGTAACTGTACCTCCCCGTGATTTGTGTGTGTCTGTGTCGATATCGCCTCCATTGCGCTTCTGAACTGTTGAAAGGGCCCGTTTCAGAAGAGTCTTCTTAGACTATGACTTGTGTCGTAGAGGCCCGATCGAGGGGCCAACAGGATGGACCCTGTCAAGCACGGGTTTCAGGGACGAATTCTTTCACCATCTTCTTTCACTTTTCAGCTGTGTGTTTGAAAAGCTAGAATGGAATCTGTGAGTTGTCCATTACCCCCGGTTCGGTTCTTCCTCTAAAAGCATGGTGTTTGGCTTTGGTCTTCCGTCGAAGGTGCGCTGGCCGTTCCGGTGCTGAGTCTTTCGCCCTTGAACTAGCTTCGGCTTCGCGCAAGGAAGTTCAAAGCATGATTCAAATGGACTCCTGATCATAATCTGCACTGCTGGCCAATAAGGGCACTGAGTAGTCAACTTGCTCAAAGGGAAGAAGACGTGACGGAACAAACTTTTGTTGAAGTGTCGATTTTGTTTGTTCCGACTGGAGTGAGCTAAGCTGCAAAAGTGCAACTGAAAAGTTGAGTCCCCACCGAAAAGTTAGGAGAGTGCCAGCATGAAGGTCAAAGACTGCTCCCCTTTACTGAGTGAGGGGGGGACCGCTGTGAGCACTCTCCAGACTTCCTGAACTGACCTAGGTCCTCCATGTATGGAATAGTTAATAGTTACCATTGATGGGTCTACTGGCCAGCTGCGCTCCTGCTCCAGGTGCTCCTCCTTCGGCCTCGGGAAGAGTCCGGAGACCACGAGCGGAGGGGGGTGAACGGTGCGAAGCGGCGTTGAACTGGGTGATGATGGCCTTTCGGAGCAGTCTAGCCGGGTGATGGAAACGGGTTCGGTCCATGCAATTGTTGAACGAAATGAAGCACCAAGGAACTGATCCCATAGTCTGATATATGTGAGCCTGGTGTCGGGGCGGATGCGGAAAATTTGTCCAAGGAACTGAGTATGGTCCTTCGGGCATGGCCACGGTGTCCGGCGCATGGTTCCCAAAGACTCCTGCACAGACGCGGGATGTACGCTGCCCGGATCATCCTTGAGAAATGGCAAGACTCTATTACCAAAGTAGCGCAGTAGAAGGGTTTGCCAATGCTCATGAACGATTGGTGGCACAGCATGTTTGGCTATGACTACCTCAAACATCTTTGCATGATCCTTTTTTTGAAGGCGAATGTATCCATCCTGACCAAGGCAGCTTTGCTCGCACCGTTCGTCCGGAAGCCCAAAGAACAGGCGGAAACCGAGGCAACAAAGTGAATAGAGGAGAGATGCCTGAGCGAAAGAGAATCGACTGAGCGTTTTCCCAAACTGTTTGTGAAGTGCTTTACCCTTCCGTTTGCCTATGTGGAAGCCACGATGCACCATTTCGGTTCAGATGACACAGTCGTTTGGTGAGAAAGCACGTGTACTCCTAAAATTGTCATTGGGGATGCTTGGTGGCAAGAGTCATGTACAGGGCATACTTGGGGATACAGGAAGACAGTTTCTCTTTTGCTTCCCAAAGCCAAAGACCTCGAACCCCAGGTGGACCTGCATGAGCTTTTGGCATCAAAGGACCAAGCAATTTTCGCAACTGTCCATCCAAAAATCTCGAGAAAGAAATCCCTCTCCGACTGAGTGTCCAAAAATATGTCCCAGCATCAAAGTCACCATCTTTGTTTTTTTTCATTCTAAGATTTTTGGCCAGCCAACCAGGGTTCCAGTTTTTTCAAGCTCAACTAGTGCAAGAAGGGCACAAGGAATAAGCACATTGAACAAAGACAGTGAAAGCCATAAATGACAAGACAGCAAGAATGAAACAGCTAGAGCACAAGGCATTCAGAAAGTACCAGCCCCCGACACAAACGTGCACAAAAGCCCTTATTTGTCTTTTTTGTCACCACCAGACATGTTGGTCAAAAAGATGTGTGGTCTCAATCTGGGCGACTACGGCGTGTACTATGGCGTTTTTGCAGATATGGGACAGAGCAAAACCACCATCCTGGCTTTTCGTCAAAGGCGATGGGGCCAGCAGGCGGTCATTTGAGTACCTGAGTGTTTATGAAGCCCATGAACTTCGCGTGATTCCGTAGCTTTGAGATCAACCCAAGGTCTCGGTCCCACTCCTTCTCGCAGCGGAAGCTTCGATCCGTCCTGTTGTGGAAAAACCAGGAGACAGTTTGGATAGGTCTTGGCACCCTTCATGATTGAGGATGGCATCTCCGGTTCACAACTCAGGTCACACGCACAAACGCAAAGAACAGCAACAAGAAGCTGCTATACCATCCGTTCACAAGTGTAGCATGCAAACAGTAAGTCTTTTGCTCACACAAGGTATCCACATTGACAAAGGCCATTGTGAGCGGTTGTGCAAGACACTGATCCGACAAAAGCTCTGGAAGCGGCCAATGCTGCAAGCGCCACAAAAGTTGCAAACAACATGTCCACACAACAAAGTGGGTGGGAATTAGCAAGCGAAAGAACTGGGAACCTTTGTCAGCTTGCAAAAATGTTGTCTCCAAAAGCGAGCTTTGATAGAAGCGACTCCCTGGCAGCTGTTCATGTCTCTCCACAGAACCTTCCCCTCCCTCCCTGCACCCGGTCGTTCATCGGTGAGGCCGGAAGATCATCTTGGACAGTCACGGGAACTGGATATAGGCGCAGAAGAGCCGCTCGGTCCGGCTTGAAATTCTCGGAGAGATGCGGCAAATCCGCTTTTCTGGGATCATCCAGTGGTTTCAGCGAGGAGTTCTCCGGTTTGTCCAACCAAGAAGACCAAGATGTGGTGCCTGGATGTGGCTGGGATGTCACTGAGACAATTGCTTCAACACCAGAGAAAAATTCCATGGTCCTCCAAACAGGGTGGTGTGGCCGTGACCAGCGTCGGTAGAGCAGCTCAACAAAAGCGTGTCAGCCCACGTTGGAGAAGGAGCTATCTCGAAGAAACCACCTGTGGCCCGCGTGTCAGCACCAAGCTGTGACTGCCTTTGTTTGGCCTTGAGAGGTAGAGGTTGGAAGACAGACGCACACCAGATCGGCGAGCTCGCCCTTTCTGTGACATGCCAGGTATCTTTGGAGGACTCTTGACTGGAGGTCATCCAAGGAGCCGTGACCCAGAATTCGCGAATTCGTTCTTAGCGACCCAAAGATTTGAAGGTCGGCGAAGGATGGGGCAGAAGGCCCACTGCCAAAGTCAGAGGAAAGTCGAATTGGACCTGCTTGGTTGGGCGCTGGATTTGTTGAGGGATTAGTTGGTTGCATGATGCCTGACTTCCTTGTTGCTTGGTTGGTTGGTTGATTGTAGTTCACTGCTCTTTCATGCACTGAAGAACCACTTGTGAACGGCTGCTTGCCAATCAAAGAAAAACAGGATTCGGATTGAAGAAAAAGTTGTAGGTGGCAGATTCTCTGATTTTTGATGCAAAGTCGACTCGGAACTTGACTCGGATTGCAAGGAGTTCCTCATATCAGACAATCAGGTGAGGACACAAGCCCTCCCAAAAAAAGGCTGCCCGCGGAACAACCGCTGTCCAGCAAACGGCCTTCCATTTTTCGAAGCCGGCAACTCTCAGCCTCAAGCGAACCAAGCCTAAAGTAGCCATGTCAGGTTGGCAGAAACAAAACAGCTGCAAATGGATGGTAGAGTATTTAAAAATTTATATGGAGACTTCCAGCAGGTGAACTTGATTTTAAAGAAAGTTAAACGAGCTTCTAAAGGCAACGTGTTTGATGATCACACCTTTTGATAGCCTTCAACCTCCTAGCATAGCAACTTCTATGTTCTAGCGATGCGTCCACCATGAGATTCAGCGGAATCTGGGAGAAACTCCATCTCTCCCTGGCCATTTGTTACATCCAGCCTGACCCTAGAAGAGATCCGATGTTCGGTTGATGGATAGAGTCATCAATTCTCAGATCAAGAACTCAACGGGTTTGTTCGAAGAAACCCCGGACGCGCCGCGGCGATGGGCCATGTGGGCTTGGACCCCATTTTCGCGCTGCCGCTCCGCTTTCACAACCTGATGGCCTCTCGGATGCGGTGTCCATCCAGAAAGCCGAAATCAAAAATCGAAGCATTGAAGTATGAAAATCTAGAGCAAGGAGAACATGGAGAACATGCGTTTCTTCGGGGTTGTATGTAGCAATGTATGGTCGCAAGCGGGCGCATGCAGCATTTGCAAGTCGTAAGGGGACGTTGAGGCCAATGTGCAAATTGGTGGTTTCCCTCTTCACCTCATTGCCATATTCCGAACCATGCACCAGTTGGGGGCCTTTCCGAGAGGGGCCCTTTTCAGACGCATCTTCCGGGCCATCCGCCCAAAAAGCTCACCTCAGGTCCTATTGGTGGTGATACCAACCTTACTGTGGACCGCCAAAGTGACTTTCCAACTCCTTTTGGCCGTCTTGGTCCATCGACAGCTCTCCTTGACCCGGACAGTCTTCCTGGACCAGATGAGCATTTATGCTCCTCGGATCGGGAAGGGCTGTAGTGTCCTCGGATCACATGAATCATATGAAAAGATGAATCTCTATTGTGCCTTTCTGTTGTCTGTGTGGGCAGCGCAGTTCGTAGTCAAGAACAGATTGAATTGGAGTGGACATCCACTTGAGAAATCCACTTGCCGAGACATGTTCTTCGAAAGAAACTTGGAAGCTCATGTCGTTGGGATATGATTTGGTCTCATCCATCATTTGGTCACAATAGGGGTGTGAATCCGTAGGCGTGAATCCGTATTCACCATCGCACCCCAGGACCAGCGACAAACCCAAAGGTACCTCTCAATGATCCAACATGCCACCCCCAAGAAGAACAAGAAGAACGCACAATAAGAAGCCACTCGAACTCACAAGGTGTCCCTCAAAATCTGGAAACTAAATCATTAGTGTGAGCGCTATCCTGCGTGCAGTTACTTACTTGTAGGTACTAGCTACCTACCTAGCTACCAGCGGCCTACCCCCCATTTAAAGTATAGTAATAACAAGTAAATAAGTAAATAAATAGACTACTTATATAGAACTAATCTACAAGAAGAGGTTTCAAAAGTAAAAACCCGCCGGCGGAAGGCTCGAGATTTCCAGCAACTGATCCGGCAGCACTTCAATCAGATCCTCCGGATGCGCCGCACGGTGCCCGCCAAGCAGGTGCGACAGGACCCAGCCCGTTGTGGTTACGGGCGGTCTTAGGTCTTTCAACAGGAAGCGTCATTTGCACCGCACCGGTGACAGAAAAAAATGCAGGGGAGTGGGAGGTGAGTTCAGAAGAATCGGATCGCTTTTCTCGGCTGTCCGAGAACTGCTCTTTACCCATTTTACACCTCTGCTCCTATAGCTCTTTGTGCACATGTTCTTGGGCCACTGGTCTCACAGCGGGATGACCACGGAAATCAGGTGCCACAGCACACCTTGGCAGTGCATTTGCACCCAGATGCTTGGCTCGCAGTTGTTCTCACAATCGAGCTTCTTCCCGAGAGGTTGCATAGCTGGGTATGATTCATCCTTTTCAACTAGACTTGGTCAGATGTGGAACACACTGAGTTCACTCTTCTGATAGCGAGCTCTATATCCCGTTGCCGTCAAGCGGTGTGCCCAGGAGTCGGTGCAGGTCACAGGCACTGAAGATGAGGCGAGATGGTCCATCCGTGCGGTCATGGTCCTTCTTTGATGTCATAAGACTGGGAAGCTGCAGGCAAAAAGCCTTTCTTCACATTTGTGCCAGCCTTTTGTGGCCTGCAAGTCACCTTCCCAAGTCCTTTGAGATCTCCAAGACAAATGAAAAAGACAGGCACTGCCTAGCAAAGTTTTTCAAGCACTGCCTGGCAGGTTTTGTTGAAGTTCCTTTTCGACGCCACGGCAGAGTGTTCCATCAGCTTCTACTGGGGTGTTTCCACTGACGCCTGCAACAAGCTGATGAAGGCGGGCTGCAAAGATACTACACCTCAGCGGAGGATAGGAAGGAACAGAAGCGAAGATTTCTCAGTCAGCTGCTTCAACTGTTTTGTTCCCAACACTCTGTGAGGCATGTTCTGGTTTTTTGTAGGCCGTCTCCATGCACTTTCCTTTGTGGCCTCCCTTTTTGCACCTAGATCACTACGAGTCCATCACCAGCTCACTGGTTTCTTCCACCTTTCATTTGATTTCAGGACGCCTGTTGCGCGAGGGACATGGAGCGTGAGCCAGCGCAAGGAGGACGCGTCTTTTCCCGAAAACTGCTTGCAATACACTCGTAAGTGAAGTGATGTTGGCCATTACCCATGCATATTTGTTTGACTTTAGACTCGAGTCTGTACCTTTCAATCAATACAGATTGGGAGACAGGTTCCTTTGCAGTGCTTTTTTCAGTTGCTCCCTTTGAGAAAGAAGTCCTGCACGGTTTTCAGTAGTTATCCCGCTCTTCAAGCTCCTAGTGACCTCGTGCTTCACTCTTTCACGCTGGACAAAGCCTGTGTCATGGCCTGCAGGATCTTTGGAAATGGGCTATCAGCCGCCATTCCTGGAGCCTTGCCGAAGAACACCCTCCTTGCTACTAGCGATGCCCTTTGCTCCTGGTAGCGTCCTTGTTCCTAGTACGGCCAGGAGCCCCTAGTAGCGTCCTTGCTCCTAGTAGCGATGCCCTTTGCTCCTAGTAGCTTCCCTCCCATTGTTTTGTTTCCGGTGCTTTAAGCCCTCTATGTAGTTCCTTGCGTGATCAACAGTCGACAAAAGAACATCTCTATAGGGCCCCAGTTGACCTTTCACTATTGACTGTGGCTGGGTAGAGAATATTGTGAGTGGTCCCCAAGTAGATTATACTGGGTAAATGTTCAAGACAGACATTGCGATTGGCTTCTGCTGAGTTGCACCACCCCGCACAAAGCTGTGCACCAAAGAACTGCCCAGCAGGTCAAGAGAAGGTCACCTTTGTGTTCTCATCCGAGGATTCGCTGTTCATTTCTCCTTGCAAAGAATGGCATGCTTCGTCAATCTTGCCAATTCTCTTGAATCCGTCCGACTTGGATCCCCAAAAAGAACGCACTCAATTTTCATCCAGTCCACCTTCAGCAGAAAAGGTTGGAGGCCATCGCTATTAGAAACAAAGGAAAAATAAAAGGAAGACTGAAAAATACTAGCAAAGGCAAGAAGCTACTTAGGGCTCCTGGCCTTACTACTAGGAGCATTTTTGCTTCTAGTAACAAGAAGCTACTGGTTTCACCCGGCTTCACCCGACTCCAACGGGTCGCACCGAGGACCAGGACGGTCGGTACCTCTTTGGCGCCTCGGAGTGCTTGGAGCGTTCACAGCTCTACGAGCGCCCCAGTGGGCAGAACCAAAGCTTCGAGGAGAAGACGCGAGAAATGTCTCAGGCGCAAAATGGACGGATGCGAAAAATGTTGGAAAAATTTGTAAGGCTAATTTAAAGAAGTCTTGGTTGTCTTCCTCTTTTCTTTCAATCTTCCTTTTTGGACGTCTCAGGCGATGTCTCTGGCGAAGCAGGCAAAGCTGGAAGAGCCAGGTCGAGTGCCTCTGGCGATCGTTTTGGCGCCGCGGCACTCGGAGAAGCAGGTGACCTTCATCCGCGTGAGCCTTCAACAGGAGGAGCTGCGCACGGAAGTGCTACAGCAGATCCTTGTGGGGAACAATGTGGCTCGGAGTCAGATTCCCTTTCGCTACTAGGGTGGAGGCCATCGCTGGTAGGTGGTGTGCATCGACCGTTTTTCCGACTGCGATATGGGAAGATAGAGTGGACTTCCCCTTGGACACGGAGAGAGGGAGGGGGAGAGAGATATATATATATAATAGATAGTAATAGTAATAGTAGTAGTAATAACAATAACATGTTAGTAGAAAATTCTCCACAGCAAGAGCCCCTATATGTTACCTTTATGGTGAGGATTTACCACCCCTTTCATATCATGCTGTCTTTTGCATTTGCTGAAAAATAGGATGAGATCCTCCCCTGCAGCCTCCATTTGTTAGCACCTCTTTGAGCACTTTGAAGCAATCCCTGCTCAATTTCAGCACCTGAGGTGGGCCATCGGATCCTTGGCATTGCGACAGTGCGAGTTCTGCTGCGGGTTCCCAATTCCCAAAGTTCCTTGTGAAAGCAGTCTTCCAAAGGGGGGGGTCACTTCCATTGTTCTCCGGGTACGATTTTGTCATATTCTCCCGTGTGTGCCAGTCTCGTTCACGTTTTCAAGATCCGCTCGCTTCAGGATCTTGGGCGTTTTTGGCTTTGAAGACGAGGAGCCCAGCACTGCTGACTGCATGGTCTGCTATGAGCGGCTCCGTTCGGCCGCTGGGCTCGTGACGACTACCCGAAAGGCGAAGCTGAAAACATTTTGCCAAGATCCTCTTTTGTATTTTCCAACTAGTAAGTAGGCTACTTGTAACTGGACGCAGGATCTCTCGCGCACTATTCGTTTGGTTCCTAGATTTTTGGAAGAAAGTGGACAGGCCACTTTCCCTGGCAACATCAAAAGGAAACTGAAGTTCCATTCAGGCTGCATGTTATCGTCCTTCAAGGAATGTGTGAAGTCTCTTGCGATCCCTGAGCCCAAGTCCTGTACTTGAGCGACCAGATAAGCTTGTTTGAGTTTGTTTGTTTTTTGAACAAAACTTCAAAGTGGGCAGGAAACCTCTCCCATGAAGTTGGGGATTCTTTCCACAAGGCAATAGCTGCAGAGATCTTTCTCTTCTATGCTGCCTTGAATCGTTGTCCTTGCTTGAGACATGTGGCATGTCATCTTGGGGTTCAGAAACTTGACATGTGGCTTTCTTTAGACACGACAGATTGGTTGTTCTGTTGGCTTATTGACGAAACGGAAGGGAAGAGGCCTTTCATCCACTAAGGTGATCATTTTGCCATGCCGCCACTGTTCCGTGTGCTCCACATGCTTAAGATCTCTGAGGGACGAGAGATGCCCCATGTGCAGATCCTCCTTCTCGGCCTATTTGCTTCTGCCATTGCTTCACGAAACCGCCTGAGCGTGAAATTGCGCCCTGTAAAAAACACGGCATGGAGCGCTGGGAAGTGTGGGTTCGGCGAGTGACGAGCGATGAAGCTCGGTGGTCGTACCGAAGGTCTTGGACTTAAAGTGGCTCTCAACTCCAAGGATGCATGGGGTAATGGCTAAGAATCCATTTCACCTTACATCACACTCCCTGAGAAAGCATCTTGAATATCTTCAAGGATGTCCTTCACTCCATTCCTGGTTCATACGGTCCATGTGCCTCGTGACGGTCTGCAAAACCTCACTCGCCTGGGATGGCTCTGGATCTCAGCCCCCGCTTTCAGCCGCCATGACTCAAGAGGAGTACACCGGCGACGAGGCTCGAAAACGCAGCACTGAATGGATTGGAAACCAAGCTATGTCAACATGTTTTGTTGGAAGTGCCAGCTAGAAGTACCTGGTTGGACGGTTGGACGTCACTGAAACTCACTAGAAGTGACTATGTGTTTGACATTGTTTGACCACATCTTTGGCTCCACCGTCGCAGGTGTTGATCGAGGAGGTCCCAAGGGATACTTCTCCCGAGAAGTCTGCCTTCGATCACTCCAAGGAGCGTTTCTCTTTACCGGATTTGATTGCGCAATAAGATCAGGGAAAGGCGAAAGTATCGATGTTTTTGTGCATGTTGAGTGCTTGGCTTCTCGGCTTGCTCCTGCACTTTGGCCCCTGGATATCCCTGGATTACAGACCCTTCTGACGTGTGGACTCCGAACTGCACTGGAAGGACAAGGCCAAAGATTTGCTGTGCACTCAGGTTGTTAAATTGCAAGCCTGCAGATGATGCCCAAAAACTTGAGTGGACATGGCCTGTTCCCTTGATGTTGGTCTTCTTAGCAGTCCTACCTATTCCACTGGAAGGGAAGTCGAACAAAACGAGATGAGGTCTTACTACTATGCCCACCAGCCAGAGTCCACAAAAGGCTTCCCAGCAGATGCTGTGGTGCGAGAGGACGCTTTTGCAACGTGAGCGAGAAAAGCATTGGAAGCATGCCAAGGTGCAGTTGAAAAGAGCCACGGAACACTTGCAAGTAGTATGCTTGAGCTACACTTCACTCAAGTGAGTCCTGTCAGGAGGACCCTCTAACCCGAGCAGATGGCTGTGGCCCGAAGCCTTTAGGCTGGAGCGATCTGGTCGACGTGTGCCGCATGCCTGTATGTGAGATGTCAAATTCTGTGGGAAAAGGAAGTCCTCCGAATCTTTTTGACACTAAGACACTAACTAATTTGAGTTTTTGGTTCAAAGGATTTGTCTTGACTCTGCGCCTATTGAATGTATTGACCCTGCCCCTGGTTGTCCTTCAATCGCAAAAAGAACAATTGAAATGACAAGCACGGCCTTCGCCCGCCAGATGAGAAGAAGGCGGTAGTGATGGACAATGCTTCTTGGAAGATTTGGTTCAGAATGGTCGGACTTAAATGGCTCTCAAAGCATTGAAAATATTGATTTTTACATTTGTCGAGTTGTTTCAAGGTGAGATGGCTGTCAACCATGTCGTTCTCTGATGATGGGAAAGTGGTGAAAGCCTGCCACTCAGCATCTTTCTTGTCAAGAATTGAGATGCTCTCACAGGATGGTGGTGGCAAAGCAAGTTCACGGTTTGAATTTGTGAGGGGAATTTGATATCTTTTTGTTTCTTAGTTCTTGGACGGCTGTTTTGAGCCAAATTGAGATGGCAGGTCTACATCGAATTTCCCGAGGAGATCAAGGACAGAGCCAGAAATCTTGAAGTCCGATGTTGGTCCAAACATTTGGTTTTGGGTAGGTATGGATCTTGTTGAATCTCTTCCTATAGTCTGATCGTTTATGCTAAAATGATCATTCTCATGTAGCTCTTGAAGCTTCACTTGCATCGAACACTTCTTTCAGGGTGCAGAGATCACCTGTGAATTCGAACGTGGGACACCCAGTTTGAAAATTCCGCTTGCGCGCAAGTGGCTCGAAGGGAGTGGACCCCATTGCTCAGATTTCCGTGAGCCGTTAAAACAACCATAGACATCGATCTAGGCTGAAGTGGATCCTAGAATTGAGAAGATTGCTGCATATTCATGGCAAGATGTGCTTTCCAAAAAGCTTCGAGTTCCAAAAGGACGTTGTTTTCCTCTGACGGACCTTTTGGCTGAACGAGGTTTCGGCGTCGAGCTGATCGCTCAGCTTCCCAGCGGGCGACTCTACGGCGTTCGCGTGAAGGATGCAGAGGCGAAGGAGTTGGTTGGGAGCGTTGATGTCTTTTTTAATTTTTAAGCTTCTACATAGGGCCGCAGGATAGCTCAAGCTTCTTCAAGGAAGTTCCCCCCACCTGAGGGCGGGGAGAGCTGAAGAAGCGCTCGCACCAATGATTCGGTTCCTAGATTCTTTGGAAAATTTGAGTATACGTACTGTTGTCCTGGCTTTCTTTCCTTCCTCCTGGTCAACAAAGGAATCTCCGTCCGCAACATAGATCGGCGCAGCATCTCATGTGGTCCATTGAAGGTAGTAGTTGAAAATGTTTAAGCATCCCAAACAAATCACACCTTGTTTTCTGCCACCAAGTACTGCAAGTGTTGCCAGGGCTGGGTGCTGGAGCATGAACGCAAAAATGGCTGGGCTCATGAGATTATTCCCGAGAAGTGCGGAGCTCGCAATGATTTTTGCAGTCATAAGTTCCAACCCTCGTCCCGGCCAACTGAGTTGCAAGTACCGGGTGTCGTCAAGCAGTCCAAAAGTCACCCTGACTTTGGTCAAGAAGGACTCTGTGAAAATGTGAATTTCAGATTTGAACTTGTTCGAGTCGTGAAAAAGGCATTGCACCACCCTGAACAGGACGAAAAGGAGAAATGGTACGAACTCAGAAAGAAGGACATCAGCCCGCCAGCTCAGTCAATAAGAAGGTTGAATCGATGAAATCGTTCTACGTTGAGAATCTTCTTTGTTGGAAACTGAGGATCCACCTTTTGATGAGGCAAACGTTTCATTTCTGATTCATCAAAGACCACAAATCCAAAGACTTCAAAAAGAAGAAAAGGCAACATACATTAATTTAAAGGCTTACGCCTAACAGCCGGGCGCCGGCCCACTGGGGTCTGTGGGGCATATGTCACGCCTAGGTTGGCCTTGGTGGGGCCTATATTGAGCAAAGTTAAGCTATCTGGTGCGCATCTTGGCCCTAAGTTGGGCCCATGTGGTCTATGTTGGGCACATCTTGGGCCCATGTTGAGCCTATGTTGGGCCTATGTTGGCCTATGTTAGGCCTATGTTGGCCTAGGTTGGGCCTATGTTGAGCCATCTTGGAGGCTATGTTGAGCATATGTTGGGGATATGTTGGCTATCTCGGGCCTACGTTGGGGATATGTTAGGCAATTTATGTTGAAAAATCTTCCGATACAACTTTTTACGACTTTTCCTTCCCGCAAAGCAAAAACCATGGAAAAACCTACGTTTTTTAACATCGCTAGGATGAAATTCTCGGCCGCCGAGGGGCCCAAAGCCCTGTAAAACACAGTGCTTTTTATACCTAACACACACGCAACACTGTAAATTACAGGGGCATCAGTGCCGATAAAGGACGACGGGGTCCCCCCGTTTTCAGGGGTGGCCCGTGTCCTGCGTAATGCACTTCTCCTTCTGCGGAGCAGAAAGCGTAGCCGCCCCCAGGTGGGGGCCCCAGAAAACTCAGGGCTCTTGACGTTTTTTTTCCGCTCTTGTCGCTCACGATGGGTCAACATAGCCCAACATCGGCCCAAATAATGCTGGAAATGCGTGCCGCGCCGGGGTGCTTTATCTGCATCGTGGGCGGATGTTTGGCTGATGCTGGCGGCCCATCTTGGGGCTATGTTGGGCCCATGTTGTCCCTATGTTGACGCTATGTTGTCCCATTGGCTCATCTTCGGGGCTAACCTGCCCATCTTGGCCCTACCCTTGCCCAACGGCAGCCGATGTTGAGCTTATGTCCCTATGTTGACGCTATGTTGGCCCATTTTGGCCCCAGCTTGGCTCATCTTGGGAGTATGTCGGCACATTCTTGGCTCGGCGAACCACGACCGCGGCTTTCGCCCCCAGCCCCTGACTTGATGCCCCTGGCCGGCTGTCGGGCGTCACCCTCCGGGCATGCCATGGGCTCCTGGCCGACGCCCGGAATTTTGGATTATATAAATTATTGGAGGATTGATTCATATAAAGTTCAAAATAAAATTGACCCCACGAATCCGAATGTAAATATATTCGAAAAAAGCTATATATTTAAACATTTCTGGGATATTTTTGTGGATAAGATCTTTTTTTGGAATATATTTGTCAAATATTTTTGTGGGATATTATTATTAGATGTTTATAGGTTATTTGTGTGGTCTATTTTTATGGATTATTTTTACGGTATATATAGTATATTGAAAATACGTCGTATTTATGTTAATATATTTCACGTTTCTTAGTGATATAATGCTATATAAATATATTGGCGCGTTATTTTACTAATAATAATATTTATCGTGGATAGGCAAAATATATAATTTTATATTATCGAAATGTATTTCGACGATATCGAAAGGAATGAATGTATTTTAAATAAGGACGTATTAATCGTGTATATTTATGTATTTTAATTATTTAATTATAATTTATATTCTTTTTATCGTAAAAATTCTTAAATTTATTTATATTATTTGGAGAATAATGGGTATGAAATCGACGTATTGGGATTTCGAGATTTTTATTTTTTATGCAATTTTATTGATATTATTAATATTTAATAAATTATGATTTATGTTATTGGAAATTTTTACTTTAGTTGAAATTTATTACGAAAATAGAATTTCGATATAATAAATTGAAATGTAAATTCTAATGGTATAACTTTATTTAATACCTCAAAAGATTATTTAAAAATAAGTTTAATGGAATTGTACGGATAATAGTTTTTTTCTGGATTCTTAATATATTTAGATTTGTTAGATTTTTTATTTATTAGATTTTACTTATATTATTTGGTACCTTTTGCCGGAATAATTGGCCCAAAAATATAAA